TATGAACGCGTTAGGGGTGCAACTTAACACATGGGTTCTATCGCGACAAGGGGAAGACTTTATCTAGGACTTGACAGGCGAAGAAATCTATTCAAAAGCTCAAAGCATCTTCAGCAGGAAAATATTGTGGTACACCGCCATCATCTGCATCTACAAGCCTGTCCACGTCATCATAGTCGAAGCGCATCGAACCCATTTGCGCATTGATGATGATCGCGTTGTTGAGATTGCTGAGAGCCTCTAGCTGCCCAATATCCTCCTGCGTATGCTGCAGCTTTGTTACCTTCAATATATTCTGGTGTGTTAATATATAAATTTGTTACACATTTGACCAGGCTCGCAATAGTAACATGCACCGATACTCCCACTGCTCTCTTGTCCCCTTGTACAATGGCAGAGGGCGTGGCAGAACTTATTGCACATGCTACATGTATGTAATGACAACCTCAAGATACCATTCTCGCACCCCGGTAAGAAAAACGGGCAGCCCTGAAGACTCAGTTCGTCCTCTGACGTACAGTTTGGTACAAGACTCCGGTGTTTGACATCATAGTTTATACCTACAGGTTACAGCAACCCTATAGGAGCTGAAGGTATACGGATACCCATAAGGGGCCCCGAGTAAGTGGTGGTATTCGCAGTTGATGTATTTTTTATATCTTGGGCGTGTACACTAGTCTCTTCGTGAGTGGAGTGATGCTCATCGTCATGTGTCTCTACTGTAGTAAATGTTGTTGCCCTAAAATCCGTCAATTTCCCGACCGTATAGAAACTGATCAACAAGCTTATGTAGAAAATATGCTTATATTTTCCAATTACTTGATTCATCCGTGTCACTCAAAAACTATACTTGAGTTTCAGGGAAGGTTTTAGGCACATCCTAACATCGTTTAGTAACACCAAACATAGTTTTTTCTCTTTCTCAATTAATCTACAAAAACTCATTTTTACAAAAACCAACATATATTTATATAAGAAGGTAATCATAATATATATATACTCATAGAAAAAAAAACTAGAATAAGAGTTTATTCAGTCTATTAAGAGGACCATCAGCTTCTTGTACCGAACTGATTCATAGCCCAGGCAAATGGAACTGACGGCTTTCATTCTTCTTTCCCATCAATGCGACGGCGGACACTATAAATTAAACACGGCAGGGGCGCCGCGGAGACCAAAAGTTTTCTCCTAAGTGGGTAGCAAATAACTTGTGTAGGGATAATACTATTTATTTCAAAGGAGTTAAGTTACAATGTTTGTACATATAGTATGGCTCTCATAGCCGTTGTAGTGGCTCGGGGAATATCGATGGGAAGAAGTGGACAGTAAATTCCCTGTTGAAGCTTGGACCAAGTGAGTCGACAATGGAGGATTTGCGCTGGGTCAATTCAGGCCGGTGCTGACAAAGCACAGTTACTATCGAATGTTCCATATATTTTCTTGCTGATCTATTAAGTAGAGTACCCAACTAGGTGGTACGGATTGGGTCTGCGACGTTTAGTGCCGCGGAATGGGCTAATGCAGAGTACAAAATAAGAGAAAGGCCAGGTTGTCCGTCATAATCCGGTCGAGAAGAGAAGATGGGGGTAAGCCAATGCCGCACCAGACCACGGATGAATTCAGTATGTGTTGGTTGGCCTGGATCGGACGTATCATAGTCGGAACCAACAAGCGCGATGATTTGGTTCGAACTGATATTTGGAAGTAGTACTTCAACAGCGTGATTAGCCGGGGAATAGGGAACATCTGTTGATGTGTCAGGGACGGGTGAGGGTACGGCTGTTCTTCAACATGCTGGAGAAAAGATCAGTTTTGGGCCTACCAGGATGCGTCGAATCAGTTTTGGATGCAGGGAAAGTGGCTGGTAGTGAAGGCAGACAGGGCAGAGACAGCCGTCGGTGCGGTAATCGAGCAATGTGAACATGTACGTATTCGTTACAATCATAGCACAGAGCCGGATTGGTGTAGACTCGAAGAAGCGATTGAAGCTGTCGTGTCTGGCTGTGTCTCGGTTTGAGGTTGGCGGTTTACCCATAACCAGTTGGTAGTAGTATTGGTGCCGGGCCATTGCCGCGATCTCCTTGTTGGAGCAACGTTTTGTTGAGTTCTTTCTGAAGTCGTCACAGCGTTGGCGGAGGGCTACATGGTCGAGTGGTGGAAAATGGGTACTGTAAATTGATGTCGACATCCAAGGAAATATTAGGGATATGACGATATGAGTCCGAAATTGTCACGAGGGTTGTTGACATCAGGTGACATGGAGAATGAAATGTCATGGCTCCAGAGTGGGAGGGACTGGTTGATGTCGATTAGTAGTGTACGTGTAAGTTGAATTAAGTGTGTCATGCTCCCTTTCAACCTTTCCGTTGAGTTGCGGGGTGTGTGCCGGGGTACTGTTGAGATCCATATCTCGGAGAAGAAGCATGGTGCGAGTGTTTTGCTCCGAAATACGCTGTCACCATCAGCAATAAGGCGATATGGTTTGTAGCGTGCAAGCACCTGCAGGGGAAGTGCCTTGGCAGCGTCAGGTACGCACACTTTGTCTTTGTGAACACTATGTATGCCAAATTTTGTTCCGTCATATATTATGTTCATGGTGTACTTGGGACCCTGAAGATCGATGTGGAGATGTTCAACGGGGCCGTAAACATTATTTGTGGTTGTGTGGTGTACATGGTCGCATTTCATTTTTCCGGCCATACGTTAGGCAACAAGTGTATATATCCAAGTGGGCTTACCCACGGCCTGAGTGTCGCTGCCTAAGAATGTGTTCTTGTCATTTTGGATGATGTAGGGTGGAGACTGTAAGTGTGAGATGTAAAATGACCACCAACGGGAGCAGTGACGAAATGGTACGCATATCGCCTGGGTAGAACCGGTGCTTATGTTAAGACGGACAAGTTCTAAGATATCAGTCCACTTTGGATTGGCGTAACAACGCTTGGTGATGAGGTAGCCTTTTCGAAAGTCATTAAGCTCACTACCCTCCGGGCCAGCAAAACGAGGAATCTGAGAGTTGACACAGGAAACGCAGATGTCTATCGTAGGCTGTAAGTCGATGTTCTGCATGGCTACAGCCCAATCTTTCGATTTAGCACACATTTCTCGGTGGTGACACCGAGAGGAGGGGGGGGGGGGGTTAGTGTGTGAGTGTGATGCGGTCTTTGGCAGACACTCTCAGAGTAGTAGATCGGCTGCGATGACCGTTATTTTTATGGTATTCGTCATATGTTATTCTGTTGGTGTTTGTTTGTTGAGGTGGATGAATGAGTAATTGTGGTAGTGAGTTATGATTGGTGGAGGGAACAAATTAATTTAAGAACATGTATAGCGTTCTGACGAGCAGTGGATGCAGCGACCTGGAGATCGCCTAGCCAGAGATCATGGGTGTCGCCGCTGATGGTAAGTTGGGTCCATCTGGGGGCTGGGGTGGGAGCAGCCAGGTCTTCCATTGTAGAGGAATAATAGACGAGAGTTTCGAGTAGAGATTAATAGCCCATAACCTAATAGACTGTATAAACTCTTATTTGGAAGAATTGAATTTTATTATCTTTTTCTATGAATATATATATATATTATGATTACTTTCTTATATAAACACGTCATGTTGGTTTTTGTAAAGATAAGTTTTTGTAGATTAATTGAGACAGAGAAAAAACTATGTTTGGTGTTTCTATACCACGTTAAATTGTGCCTTAAACAACTGGATTTAGGCCTCGACGTGAGGCTCGAGCAGAAATCATAGCGCAGACCCGATCCAGACCGTCATGGCAAATTTATGCGACAAAATTAAATACCGACATGTGGTCAGTAAATACCGAGCTTCGCTCACTCCGCCAAGCGGGGGCCGGGGGGTCATGTTTCACACGCTAATTAATTTTACTTATTTTAAAAAACAAAGCAAAACAACTTAAAATTTAGAAAGGTATCAAGACCGCAACGTCTTACGACGTGTCGTCTGAAACATGTCGTATGTCGCGTAGGGCCGTAGGGCTTAAGGCCGCAGGGCGTAAGGCCCGTAGGCCACTGGTTTATAGTGTATACAGTGATGTTACTGATTACTGACACACTTTATGTAAATACAAACATTTTTATTTTCAGAATTTCCATGGGTTTCCCCCCATCCTAAAAATCGCTGAAAGGACCCATTATTATTGGCGAATTTTTTAGCATAGCCTTCTAAATTAAAAACATCAGAGGGTCTAAAAATAACTTACCCAATCTTGAGTAAAAAAAAATTAAGCAAGTTCTTGACCCCGGTGTCGCGAACTCGCGACATGTCAACTATTATTTTTCTTGTTTTAAATAAAAGCGAGACTCTCGGAGTCTCGAGTCTCACGAGTCACGAACTCACGACGCATCGTTATAGTCAAACGAGAGTTTACTAGCTCAGCAAGAGTCCAGACTCCAGTGACCTCACCCCAGCAGTGAGGCCTAATCCCAGAGGGCAGAGGCCAAGCCGCCGAGAGGAGAAGGGGGGCCAAACTCCAAAGGCCACGCCCCCGCGAGACCGCGAGCGGCACTGCGACACAGGGCCTTCGTTTACATAGCCTGACGGCTGACGCCCTCCCCACTCCTGTCTTTTTTTAAATTTTAGGAGGCTATGAACAATAAAATAGTGTCAGTAGTGACTGCTGTAGCTGGACTACTGGACTCCTGAGAGCCTGAGCCCTGGGCGCACGGGAGGTTGTGACTTGGGACTTGGGAGTTGGGACTGAGACTCTGGGACTCTGGGTCTTGGCCGACTCCTGGGAGTCTTCAGTCTGGGTCTTAAGTCTTCACTCTGATATTTTTCATTGAGTGTCTGACTCACTGACTTCTCAGAGAATATTATATTTGTTTCTTTTACTTTAATAAAACAAAATATGTACTTTATTGTCTATACTCTATTTATATTCTGTCTGAGACAAAAAAAAAAAAGGAATTTTGAGGAGACAATTGTACAAAAAAATAAGATAAAATAAAAAGAATGAGATTGTATACGGTTAGTTTATTGCATATCAGCAAACCTCAAGATTAACATGGAGGGGAATCAAGCACCTGCGTGCTCAGTTATAACGCCAGTCATGAGTGAGGAAATATACCTGCAAAGTACCAATCCTGTAGTTGTTTTACGCAGAATCCTCGTATGCGGTTACATCAGTTCGGCACAGTTCAGTTTACTTAGCTCGTGGACCCTCCCAGTGATAATGCTAGTTCATGGCACTGTAGTTGGCGCCGCATATGTGGGTTGTGCACTTACTTTCAATTTAGATCCTCCGCCACAGAATGGTGAAAATCTTTGGGTGACAAATAATGTGAGTGCTATCGTATTTACAGCGGCAGCTGCAGTCTATGCATTGTGCCTAGTTTCGATAACAAGCTACTTATTGTGGAAACATAGGTCATATCCCCTTGTCAAGGCCAAGGGCCTCGACTTTGTGGTAGGCATGTCGGCATCTACAACCTTGAGTGTGCTGTTTGCGTTCTCAGCCATGACAACCATATATATACCTAAGTTGGCTCTGCTCCGTCACGCTTGGTTAACATACCTGTTTTATTCGCTGGGCGCATTCTTCTATACATCCATCATTGCACTGGTGGTAGCAAAGCAGAGAACCTTATACAGGATCTTCCAGACTAAATGGAGATTCAAAGCTTGCAAGTCCAATTGGAACTCCAACAGGAGATTCATTTCGGATGGTATTTATTGGCTTCTTATGATGCTTGCTGTCATAACGGTGGTGATTGAGATACTTTTGAGCCATGTTCACTTTGTTCATTTTGAGATAGAGCTCTTTCTCCCCATGTTCCCCGTGTTCGTAGCTCTGATATTCCTGTGTATTTATTCCGTCAAGACGAGAGTAGTGCACGAAGCTTTTAACGACGGTAGCAGAAATATCTGGGTTGCTATGACCTTGAGCACGCTGATAGTATTTCTGTGCTTTGGTCTTCTGTATATTCACCTGAATCGTTTCAAGATGGGTGTTAATGCATGGCATTTGACGTACGTATACTTCGGGTGCGTCTTCATGTATTCAATAGCTTACGGCGAGCATTTCACTTTAATAGTTTTTCTGGCGGCGAGAGGCATAACCTTGCGTACCGAGTTGTCTCCGACAAACACTGCAGCTTTCGTCACAAACTGTCTTGACACCCATGTGTCCCGTGGGGGAAGCCTGGTCATATTATCCCGGAGTTCATTCATGAGTACAAAAAGCCTTGTCTTACAATGTAAGAAAAAGGAACAACCGATACTGCTGGAATGTGAAGAGTCTGTCTCGAACAGCGACGAAAGTGGACAGAATTCTGAGAATGACCGGAGACAAGCAGTTGCTAGTAGACACCGTCCTATCAACCCAAGCGATGGGTCTAACAACGCGAGCAAAGACACAGTATGAGCCATTCGATAGTACACGCATCCTTTCTTTGTAACATAAACCAAGGAACAGCCGTCATGGCACTGCCGGCATGTGCAGAGTCTGTCGTGAGCAGCGACGAAATTTGAGAAATGATTCGAGTTCGACCAGACTTCGGGAAAACGCAGAAAGCAGTTGCTAGTAGACACCGGGCTATCAGCGCAAGCGACGATGCGGTATCAGCCACTCATTGGTACACGCAGCCTGCCTTTGGAACTCAAGCAAAAAGAACAGCCCACCATGGCATTGCAGCATGCGCAGAGTCTGTCGCAGTCAGCGACTAAGGCGAGCGGAAATCTGGTAATGATTCGAGCTCAACAAACTTTCGTTTTAAAATTCAGCAAGCAATTTGTTGTAGACACCAGCCTATCAACACAAGCCATGATACAAGATCAGCCTGAAAATATCGGACAGAAGCGAGTGTGAAATATATAGCGATTCGCACCCGCCTCGCCGGACAGAGCAGCAAGTACGTCAATACTGGTGCACATATTCAAATATGAAAAGATAATATCTCCATCGATAGCAGAACGTCACCAAAACCAAGGTGCGGCGCAAGGGGATTCCCGAAGAAGACAGCCTCAAGTTACGACAGCCTCAAGTTACATGTTCCATATTTTCTCCGAGAACAGAGTGTGTCCGTTATAGGGTACATAGACGAGGGTACTATGTTGAGTTGGATACTGCGCCCAGGCAAAACTCAATACAATGGAAAGAGTTGTGGATCGTCTGAACTCCGAAGTTGATATTGAAAGTGTGAGATAAATAAAATTTGCATTGGAACAGGAAGAACAGGAACATCTATAACATCATATGGACGCAGACTCGCAGCAGCGACTTGCAGCAGTATATTGATTAGCAGTGCGAAACGCAACCGAAAGCCAAATGTTGGTATACACCGGGATATTTGACACACCTAAGCAAATGTTTGCAAATGAATTTCACCACTCATCTATTGAGTCGTCGGACGGTATATATATATATAAATACTTATATATATATATATATTCATATAAATAAATAATATATTTATATATATACATATATATAATATATTATATATATATATGAATATATATATATATATATAATATTATATATATATATATATATATTATTTATATATAT